TCAAACAGTATTCATACGATTTAATTTCACTTGTACTATAAATGTCCATTTGTCTATAAATTATATTGTTTTCTGGTTAAATAGCCTAAAACTATCGACGCTGCTTTTACGTATCAACTTTTGTGTTCCATGAGTTTCCTGATGCTCGGTATTTGTGTCTCGTGACATATATGTGACTAATTTTCGTCGGTCTGTCTCGGTCTGTTTGGTAATCTTATAACTATAGAAGTACCGTTCGTATTTCGATGAAGTTTTTACACAATGTTACTACTATGCCAAGCATGCAAAAGCTTTGTAGGTTTTGGAAATTCCTCCAGTGGCAGCGGAACGGAAAAAAAGACCACAAAAGATCCTGATCATTTCCAGAAACAAATTGATGGGTTCAAAATTTTGGAGTGACAATCGTTGTCATCGGTGGTCATACGTCACACTCAGAAATCCCTTCCGAAATGGTGTGGCCTGTGTGCACTGTGCATGGTGAAGGTTAATATCGTGTGCGCATGCAGCAATTCCTCTCAGAGGGAGGGGGAAGGACATTTCATTTTTTTGTTATACATGTTCGTAGCTACCTTTTTTCTCATAGGGACTATCTTCTGCCAAACATAATTCTTTACGAACTGACTTGGGAAGTACAGATTCTACTTACTTTACGCCATTTTTTGGTCAGCATTAAAGTTACAGTTAACCTGCGATTAAAAAACTGGGCCTGAAATGTTTCTTAGGTTAGGATTAATGAAATGTTCACCGGAGCGAAAACTCCATATTATGGGCCGGGGTTCAATTTCGGTCTATTTACGACTGCTGCCGACTTATGCGTGTATGAGGCAACTTCCTCCTGTGCATATTTCGCGAATTAGAATTAATGGTTAGGTATTTTGAACGGTCGCCAAGATGTATGGTTTCTTATTTACTGTCCTCGTTGTCGTTGTGCGCACAGTGCGGCATGTGTGTGTGTGTGTGTGCGTGCGGTATTCATAGGTGCATTAACAATGCGGAAAAGGCTCTCAACTCGTTTATGCTGCAGCGTGTTGCTTTATTTAGAACTGTTGAGAAATGAGAAAATGTGGCGTCATTCAAATACGTCCAACCCTTCATACATTGCAGCATCTAAAGTTAGGTGCTACATTCGGATGTCTTGAATCACTTTTGGCAGCACTTTCTATGAGGTATTCATACAGATTAGAGAATTTCTTCCGGGATATTCCTCGTTGATAAACTTGTAAAAATGGTAAATGCAGTAGAACGGATAAGCATAATCTGTAATAATCCAGGATATTTTTATACACCGTAGCAGCCGCGCATGCAAATACCTTAAATGCCAAGACTTTGTTAATCAAGCCTCCTCTTGTAGATTGTTTCACAATATCGACACACTATGGACAAAGGAGCGGCCGTATCGGCGAATTCTGGATGTACGAAGTTCGACACGGTTAGGATGGGAGGCCGAAGTCAGGCGGGTCTGTCTCGCAGGCACATCGCGCGGCGGCAACATGAAGGAGAGTTAGTACTAAATTGTACAAGATTGTTGCCTCCCCAAGCATTGATAACCTCCAGGTCTCTCGTCAGAGAAGAAGTCGCTGCTAGTCTTCTTTTTTCCAGCTCACCAGGAGAGACCAGTCTGTGTCTTGTACAGGAAAGGAAGTCGTTGATATGTAAGAGGCACAGTGTCGGATCCAAGACCGACCTCTGGGAACACTTTCGTTGACTTATTGAGATGAAGAAGTGAACCCGTTAGTTACAATAAATATCTTACGACCACACAGAGCACCTGCAAAGCTTCTCTGTGAGGTCATAGTTGGTAGGTCCCCTGTGGAAGCCATACTGCCTGTAGCTAATCCAGTTCTGACGTACAAAGTAGTCCAGAAGCTCGTGATTTATACACATCTCCATCACCTTACTTATAAGAGAAAGCAGAGCTATAGGCCTGTAATTGTAATGGTCGGTCTTAGATCACCTTTTTGAGATGGTTTGAACATGAGCAAATTTCCAGTTTTCAGGGAAGGTGCCGAATTTGTAAGGTATCTGGAAGGGACGGGAAAGAGATGGAGCAAACTCTGTTGCATACCTCTGTAATACAATGGCATGAATCAAGACCGGACCAGAAGCTTTGTTGATGTTGAGCGACACGTCTTATGCCTGAATGTCACTTCCCGCATAGCATAGCGAACCCTTTGAATTGTCGGCACTCGTTCGTTGCCTCCATGGTGGAGTTGGTAGCAAAGATCCTTTGCAAGCATGTAGTTACTCCTTCATTGTATAGCTGATATCTAGCTTTTAGTACAATGTTCGAAAATGGGCTGTCCTCAGTTTCACTGACTTAGTTAAACATTCACACCACAATGTTCTCATTTTTTTGCAACATTCGCAGTACTCCGGCAATTTCAATTCAATTTTAATTATCTTCACCGACGCGTCAGTAAAATATGTATAAGTATGCCTGTGAAGCGCTAAAGTGAGATTCTTCCATTCAGAGAAGACTGTAAGTTAGCATCCTAACCTTTCGCGGCCAGGTTTATCTGTTTATCACGACATATTGAATTAGTATTCACACCTCAAAACAACATACAGCATATTACCACGATTATTACCCAGCTGGTCATCACAGGTAGTATAAATAGCAACATTGGCGTGATGATGTCTAATAGAGACTTGTAACTTCATCACCTACCCCCCGGTTTGCCAAATCATTCAAATTAGTCATTGGGACAGGTAACACCAGTGATTCTTACCAGTCGGTCTAGCCATTTGCGCTCTCCGTGATGCCCCGCCGTGCAACATACTGTATATGTAGGGTTGTTGTCCTGCAGGATGCGTGCTTCTCAGGAAACTAGCGGGCATTTTCGAATTACCAATATATGGCAAGAATAGTTTTTAATATTTTTGAATTATCCTCATGTTACATAGAGGAGAATAAATGATGTACAATACCATAAGTTCATTTACAAAAGAATGACACAGTCTGCGAGTAACTAGCGTAGGATACATAAACACAAAAAGTTCATAGTTACAAAGTTTGTTCAGTATTCCACTTATCATATACACTTTGAAGCTCAATAGTCAATACGGACGTAGCATTAACCATACTTTCTGATAAAGTGTTGAATGTGCGATTGGGGAGAAACCACTGACGGACTGTCGTTCTAAACGGCTCCTTTCGCAGTTCAAGGCTGTGACCGCTGAGATTGCTACTTGACAGTTGGTACAGGTGCTTCAGGTTGATGCCAATCAAGTCACGAGGTAGGTAATAGACGGTCTCTGACTATCGTACGCGGAGGTACCACCCGGCGGATCTCGTAGGCGGGGCCAGAATGTGTGCACGCTGCATGCACACTTGTTCCGTGTTGTGCCCCCCCCCTTTTCCCCTATAACCCCATGGTGCCCCATGGGTGTTTAGGCCTTAGGCCTTCGTGGTAGCTGGACTATAAAAAAATAAGATCGCCTCGAACTCAACGGTCGGAGCATGTGGTGAAGTGGAATAGCTCGCGGCGATCTTCATAGCTGGATCTGCGAGCTCCAAATTGGATTCGAGTTGCCCGACGCTGTCCTGTTTCAAGGAGTTTTCTGTTGCGCACAAGCACAGTTTCCCATAGAAGGCTAGGAAATTCAAGAATTGGCCCTACAAATTGTCTTGTAAATGACAGTTCACGTATTGACGTCGGATCCTTTGAAGGAGCTCTCCAGCATATATAGAAGCTACTTGGCTTTGGTTGTTACGTGGTATATATGCTCTGACAAGGATAAAAGATCGTTGACTATAACGCCAAGTGTGACTGGACTTCAATGGTGCGATTGGGTGGAACTCTAATAAGACAAACTTTGGTGTGCTTGATATAAAGGCTCGTACCGCAAGTTGAACGCTTCCACAATGTGCGTATAGCTTGGTACGTGACATGGTAACATCAAAATCCATCAGGGGCCAAGTAAATTGACTTTCTATGAGTTGGTGATCGTCTCGGAATACCAGAGGAGCGTAAAGGGTTAAGGCTTCCTCCCCGACCCAGCTCTACCTTGAGAAATGTAGGATGCGTATTTCCGAGTCAGTCAAGGGGCGTGTCTTTAGTTTCGAAGTAAATTAAAAGTCCAAACATAGGAAATAGGCGACATGGCGGCAGAGTTGCAGCTCCTGCGGTAGTCTGGCTACGCCGAATTGGATATAAGGAGGCAGCAACATAGTAGGAATAGTTGTGAGGGGGCCGTTCAAGTATTACGGAAGCAGATTTCTTAAATTGATACCCCCCCCCTCTCTCACTTTTCAGCAAAAGTAAGCAAATCTCTTAACCTCTCCCATGCTTACGTAAATATTTTGGTACATTTTACAACTTGAGGTGAACATTGGCTTCCACGCACGTGTTCTGAATATCATTTAATGTCTGGAAATTTAGAAAATACTGGCTTTCCCGACCCAACAATGCTTTGCAGTAACATGATAGTCATCAATTTCCATTGAAGCCATAATTTCCGGCAAACTGGACATTGGATCTTTCTAAATGCTTGTTAATTGTAACACCACGTTCATCCAAATGAGACCCAAAATGTTGATGAGGCAGTATCAAGTCAACCAGTTCCCAACTAAGAGGTACCATTTGGCGCTCGACTCGGTTATACGCATTTCTAACAGGAGCATTTGTTGCTAACTTTCTAAGTGAGTAAGCATATCCATATTTGAGAAATCCCTGAAGATGCGTTTCGCTTTCGAGCATAGGCAATCAGGGTTGTCGTATGTGTTCAAATCAAAATCGATTAAATGTTGTAGAACATCCGAAACTTAATTTCTGCGGGACTTTTATTACATTTTTTTTGAGAAATCAACTTCTTTCGTAACAGTGCACATGTGGTTAAAATTTGTCGGATAAGTTGTGAAACACCCTGTATATATCGAAAGATGAATTCGTTATGCGAGAACTACAATTGGGTACATATAGGGGTACTAGGAAAACTTAAGTCATCTATACATTTCGGTGCCTAGCCTAGTGCATTTTCAATGCCCCAGGTATACCCGGCGCGGCGGCCGGGGTCGGTGCCGTCGCCAACGAGCCAGCACCGTGCACCAGGCCACCGGCACCAGCAGAACTGCAAGGCATCGCGGGCCGTGTGGTCGTTCATATCGCTACTCCAAAGTGGACGTCATCTCTGTGGTGCGAGGCACTCTTCGCGGTTGTGCCTTTAGTGTTTGTGTAGTAGTTGTGTCGGCGTCCTCTCACGGAGGCCAAGAACGCGTTGCCACGTTCGTACCGTCAGCCCGGCACACAGTTATTGTTTTGGGTTCTTTGCATGGTGTTGTTCGTTAGTTGACTGTGAAAGGTGGAGTTTTACCGGTATTGGTTTTAGAATAAGTCTAAGGTAATGTGGATGAATTTCAGTTACTAGTATTTTATATCAATTATTTTAGATTCGACCTAGGCGGTTTATTTAATATCCATTATGGCTCAATTTCCAAAAGAGTTAATACTTCTCGTATTTTGTCTGTTGGTGTACATATATAGTACATCTTAAAGAAGAACGTGGTATAGGCAGAACAAAATACTCAGGGTTGAAAAATATTTGCTGGTCCTTCATTGATTCCTCGATCCTGAGTCGTCTTGCCCAATATAGTGAAAAACATTCTGTAATTGTTAATAAATAAGCTGAAACTCTATTAAACTCGCAAGGGTATTTTTAGTTTTGGTAGTATTTAGCATTAAATATGTAAAGGTCTCTGAAGGTTATTAGTTGTAGGATGTAATTGAATCAATCCTACATACTTAAATGCATATTTTGTCTTCAAAACGTATGTTGTTCAGATGTATCCTGGAATCGACATTATCCGAGTGCATTCACCATAATTTTGAATCGGATGTATCCAGAAAACTGTAAAAGGAAATGCCACTGTTTCTGTTTTTTGTTGATACAAATGAAATGATAATTATCTTTTTTTGGGACATAATGATTTTCGAACTCTTCTCACAACCACTCAGTGATTGGCGAGTTTGAAATATGTACGTCTGTAAGTTACGAAGTTCACAAATTTAAACATTTAAAATTATAATTTCGAAGGTCTTAGGATTACACTGCACAAAAAATATTAACAAAAATTCCTCAACGAATGTTGATTCGTATGTAGGAAAGTTATTCGGTTAATGGTTAATACTGCTACCATATGATACACAGTTTTCGTATATTTTCAAAAAACCTTCTTGTAGTTTCACTAATCCGGTTTCAATAAAAAAAAGTAAGTGGTGGTGTTATCATTTGTGGAAATAACTCGCTTCTCTGTGACCTACAAATTAAATGTTATACCTTCTTTCTTCTGGATCTGTGTTAGCGGAAAGATAATATGTTATTTTATGGACATATTTCATTTAGATAATGAATTTAATATAAAATACAGTTATCGCACTTGAAAATATAAAATGAACAGGGTTTTAATTGTTTTGCTAATCTTATTTCAAGAATTGTTTGATCTGAAATGTAACAACAGCCTCTATTACTTGATGACACTTTTCCGTTATTGCCATTTATCAATTTTATATATTTGTTTCCCTGCTGATGAGCCTTTTGTTTAGTTATTAGTGTTCAGTGTTTTGTAGTACAAACATAAATTCAAAATAAATGGTTTTGTGCAGTTTGAAGTCTGCAATATGAATCTTACAATCAAAATATTAAAAAATAAAGTCATAATACTCTTCCAGGGAGTGGTTTCAAAGAAATTCCTACTCCTACTGGAAAGGAACTATTGGAATCGTGAAAAATTTCGAAAACGAGATATTACGTTTTTTGGATATTCTATGACATGTATGTCATGAAAAATCGTATCTCTCATTTCTGCCGGTCTGTCTGTCTGCCCGCTAATCTTTGGGCCGTTTATAACTGTAAAATTATCTCTTGGATTTGGATGAAATTTTCACATATGATTACTACTTTGCCGAGGACGAAAAAACTTTGTAGTCTTTGAAAACCGGTTTAGTGGCCGCTAAGATACAAGGCAAAAACCGAAAAAATAGAATTCGCTCAAACTTCCAACTCCCTCTTCACCAACTCTACGCATCTATTAGAGTTATTTACACATCATTTATTTCTCCATACATTTGCCTTTAAAACTTAGAATGATAGAGAAATGGTTTCGATACGTGTCTTTGCCTCTGCTATCTGGCTTTAACGGCAGGCGTGCCGATCTCGTTGTGTCCTGCCATTACTACCTCGCTGACGCTTGAGGCAAAAAGGCATAAAGGGCCAAAGGTGGCCTACTACAAGGGGGAGGGGCGACATTGCCAGATGGACGGTATTACCCGTAGAGCAGGGAAAGACTGACCATGGACTAATTGCATGGATCTGTTTGACTGACTTGACCCGTTCAATTTCTCTGTTTTACATGTTTTTAGTAACCTCTTTCTCGGAGGGTATAACTTGTGCTGAACATAATCCTTTTTGAATTAATGACGGCGTTGCGTGGGAAATGTACAGTCAATCTAGTTTTATGGTTGGAAAATCTATCGAAAACTATTACCTTTAGACACTTCTAACAAGTAAACCTTTTTCGTTGTGGTAATACGAGAAAATTAGATTTTTCGGTCAGTTTTTGTATACAGGGTAGCACAAAAAAGCTACGATAAGTTATTTACAGAAGTAGTGCTGTAAGTGGCACATTCTAGAAGTTTGGCCATAAAAAAATAACGGACACTTGTTTTTCATTCTACAAAACCTCAATATCCCGAGTTTTACTCCAAAATCTGAAATAACTCTCAAGCAATAAGGAAAAATAGAAAATAAAATTGCAACTTTGACACCCTGTATCTCGCAGGCTATCAACTTTTGGACTAAGGTATGTTTAGGTAAATTCACATATTTTGGTCTGTAGTATCTCCAGTTTCGAGATTTCCCAACCTTTGGCAGACACGCAGGATAATAGTTTTTAAGTTAAAATATATTTTGTTTGACTATCAATCAAGTGTGAATTTGACACAATTATGTTCCCAATGTTGGCAACATCGTTCTTCTGGTCTCTTAGTAGGTCTGTTCACCTCAAGTGCTATAACTGAAACTGGCCGATTCTACCTTCTGCCACATTATAAATAGACCGCCTAAATGTTCGGAATTCGATGCGCAGGACCGTAGCAGCAATTCTTGACCAAGTCCATCAAGAAAGCTATCTTCAAAACTACATTGTCTAGGGTTCAAAGCTACATTGCACAGCAAAGCAACTGTTTGTGTCCACAAGTTGGGGATTGCATAATTTTCCATACATTTTGTAAGGTACCACATCTGTAGGTACTGGGATATCATAATATACTTAGGGCCGATTTCACCAACATTAATATTATGGACCAATGGGAAAATACCTTATCGAAATGCAGTTTGATAGAAGCTGTCAAAGGTCTCAGAATATCAGTGATTTCTATTAAAATATTGAATAAAACCGTGAAAATTCGACTGTATTATATATATATTTGTGTTATAAATTTACATTTAACAATCAGTTATCCCCAAAAGCCAATGGGAATGCGGCAAATAATAGGTCGATTTTCTAGCTGTTAAATTTGGCAGCAGATTTGGACGCATGGCAATCTCAAATTTAAGTTCAATATACTGTTATCATTACATACCTGTTGAATCGTGGATTTGTCTGTATTTTGCAAGAAAATAGAATATAAAATACATTCCATCCAATCCCTCATCTTCCTTTACATCTTAATAGTAATCATTTATTAATTTATTACGGGTGGTTAATGAATGTCTTCAAATCAATAAAAACATTGTCTTCTCCATCCTAAAACACAGATAATATGTGTAAGAATGTTTATTCATTGGTGGGGTTATCTACTATATCTGTCACTCGTAGGGTTGCCACGTCTAACGACGATCACGTCCCGTGGTGAAGGGTGCGACATGAATCTTTTACATTTGCTGCTTTTGAATTTAAAGTAGGAATACAAACATAGTACTTATGATAGTTGGAGCTAGACTGATAACACTTCTTGAAGAATATTTGAAAAATGTGAACACCGTCATGGTCTGTTGTCAAATTGCAAATGAAGTATCTGAAAATTCTTACATACAGTGAACCTTCGTCATAGTTTACTATCCTGATTATGATCATTTTTAGCAGATGTGTTGTAACATGAAATTGATGAAATATAAGAAAGCTCTTATATACCCACATACAGAGGATTTTTCACGTAAATTTACTAGGTATCATGATTATAAGCATCTTTGGTGGATTGTTCGATCCGGAATGGGAGATATCTATTCATGAAAATATTTTTGGTTTCATCTAACCGTTGCAATCAGTGCACAAAAACTCTGGCATGATTTATAGCATAACCCGCTGCCCTATCAATACAAATTTAACATTCAGGTCGCCTAGCCGTGGGGATGCAGTGGTCGGGATGAATATCACGGCAGCTACTGATGATTTGGACATGTCTGGTAACAACTTATGAAGTGAAACTCACTAAATTCACAAATTTGAAGATTTTGTACAATTTCTTTGAAAATGATAAAAGATATGCCTGATTTGGCAGGGTTATGTCGCAGCCAAATGGCAGTCACTCTTTCTGACACAGTCCGGATCGAAAGATGAGATACTCGTGAAATGTATTGATACTTTTAAATATAGGACCGTATCGAACATCCCTACTGTCAAGATGTATAACCCGAGGTACCGACGGAGCTATTTTGTGGCGTCATGGAAATAATTTTAAATTTTCATTTGCATTTTTTCAAGTGTTGTGCAATGATTTTGGGAAAAATGTCACGAATAGTCTTATAAAGCATAGTAGAGTATATTTCAACAGTTGGCGGAATTTACTCCACTGGGACCAGGAGGGTGAAACGGGATATGAATGCACAATCTGGCAACCCTGTCGCACCCTCACAAAATGGCCGCTGATAACCACACAAGTCACCGTGTTGTCATTGAATAGCATGGAATTAAACCTTCAGAGTATATGTTTTGTGACTGGTACCAAGAGTTGACAGATCCCACACATGTGTTACTCCTTGAAATGCAATAATCAGCTGTATTCAAATAATGTTTAATATAAATATAACCTAGAATGTGTACTCGTGAAAAAAGAAAAATATGGCAAATTTGTAGTTTTTTTTGCAGGTTTTAGGTTTGCTGGTGGCTTTAAGGCATATATTTGGGAATTTCTTAATCGCTGTGAATATAGTGTGGATGTTTGTTCAGTTCCTGAACAACGAAAAATGTTCAACTTTATGGATGTATGGATATCAAAAAACCTGAATGGTTTTGTGGGAATATCAATCTAAGGTGCCATAATGGTTCTGATGAACGGCAAGTAAATGAATGAATGTTTGGAAACGAGCAATATCTTTTGGTAGAGCCTGTAATCAAGTAGGTG